TTAAAGTTTCGTCGGAACGAAGTTACGGAAAGTTAATTAACAAACGTAGACGTAACAATATTGTCCCCCTGTAGGACAGCGGTAAGTCTTCGGATTTACAAAGCTAAAATCAGGTGTTCGATTCCACTTGGCTCAATATGGCTTTGCTACAAGAAAACACAAACTTTTTTCCGTGTTATTGATCTGTATCATCAGAGGAAAGCTGAATATTACGTTATGAGGTATAAAGAATAGTATATTTTTCTAAGTATATGTTATTTCATTATAAAGACACGGTCAGTATAACTTTTATTTAGGTAAACAACTAAGTGAAGCTACAATAAATTTCTTTAAAGTAGGGAAACATCTGTTAGCTGAGTTCTTTCACAAATCTTAAAATATAACGTTGATAAATGGAAACATCGACACATGTAGATATGTAGATCTTGAAAGTCGAGTTGTTCAAAATTTGAAAATAGCGTTGATAACTGGACCAATTGTTGGTTAAGATGCAATTACAGCTGACTGAAAAATGTTTGATAGTTGGTGGGTATTCATAAAATATTCACATCGATAGACTAACTGGAAAAAGACGTTTACTATTATGCCATAAAAAATATAAAACCCTATTTATTATCCTGTGGTATATTACTAATTGTGTAATGAATTCCTGCAGGCCCCAGTGGCACAGCGGTATGTCTGCGGACTTACAACACTAGAATCCGGGTTTCGATACCCGTGGTGGGCATAGCACAGATAGCCCATTGTGTAGCTTTATGCTTAATTACAAACAAACAAACAATTCCTTCAGCTCTTTTAGACTATCTTTAAGGGAAATTGGTGTTTTAATATTACAAGATTTAATATTCCCTTAAATTCTAAATGATCACATTAGTAGTTTAACTGCAACCTTGGTGGATTCCAGTTCCATTTCCAATTGCAGAGTTTCCTTTTGAAACGTAAATATTTTGATTCATCCTAATTCTCGTCTATTATGGCATGTGTAACCTGGTCAAGTGTCAACGAGTCCATCTTCCCCCGAAAAGCATATGGGTAGAATAGTTGGGCAAGCCTTTCCAAATCTTCTGCGAGTTCGACTGAGGTGTGTTATTTCCTCCACACCATGTACTTGAACTTTGCTCTCGATACGTCTTTCTGGTGCGACACTGTTGAACAAGGCAGCTACTAATAGTTGTTATGGCTCTCAGCTAGAAGGTTACTTAATGTTGTCAAAGCTAGAACCTGGTCCTTTTAGGTGGGCAGCAAGGTAGATGGCTTGTTTTTCACTATTTTATCTGCCCTCTAGAAATTGTTTCAAACTGAACCTAGTATCATCCCATCATAGACTGTTGGTTTCTCGATTAGCTGATGTTGAATTGGTCAGCTAAACTCTGAAACCAGATAAAATATTATCATGGTTGGAGCAGTCCAGGTAGGTCCTTCAGCAATAGGTGTAACCGCAGTAGTGGTAATAGAAATATCGTTTTTCTTGGTTTTATTATAATTTTATACCTCTTTCTTCTAATTCCGGATTTCTTTTAATTTTCCATCTCTTTCATCTTTATTTCACCTTAATAATTTCACCATCTCAAGTAATGCTTCAATCTCACTACTTGACTTCGTGGTCTTCATCTTAAATAATTAAAGTTTAGTCAAAATTCTATTGTACTTCTATTTTACTTTCACCAAATATTTCCACTTCCAATTATTGTTATTTGTTTATAAGGTTAATATATACAAATCAGGTTTTCTTATATATCTGATTTTCTTTATTTTTGAGCATAAGCTTGTTTAATAGCTAACACCTTTATTGACATCACTTTCCAGTGTTCTGTGTGAGAAGATTTTATTATGGACTTGTTTGGGAACAACTTCGTCACGTGAAGAAAATTAGAACTCATGCTGTGTTTCATTTGATGTAGCCTGAACATATAGTTAGAGGGAAAATAAATCACAAAGAATGTGAAAAAGGCGACTTTCTTTACATAAATCACTTTTGCTCTAAAACCGCATTTTCATGTCCGCTTTATAGTCCTAACAGTTTTAAACATTATTTTCATGGACGTAGGCATAGATCTATGAAGCGGAATGCTATTTTTGGAAAAAAGGAAATGAGTATTGAAAACATACTGTTGGTGGTAGGGGTCCGTGTGTATGGCCATTCAAAAAAAAATGTTATAATTTGTAATGAAAATTGTCCACTTTGATGGTATTTAAGGTTGTTTTTACACCATTTAAATATGGTTTACTTGCATTCAAATGCAATTTAAATGGCGAAATTGCACTCACCGCTTCCCTTCCTTGCCTACGCGCATGATTATAGCCAAGTTAAATGTTTGAGCTAATAAAGTATGTATTAAACCGTGAAGTTATTTTCTTATTCAAAGAGTGCTATCACAGTGTCTGATAAGCACTTATTAAATCTCACTTAGAAGCTTACTTCAATGTCTTCTTCAAAACACAAAGCAGTTTCTGTGCGTTATAGGCTTCTGATTTGTTTTGGTATTGTGATGACATTTGGAGGCTCTATGCTAATGGAAGACTATACAATCAACCCGAAGTGCTGTTATAAGACTCCAAAGTAAGGGCCAGGTGATTAGGGCGCTTGACTCGCAATCTGAGGGTCGCGGGCTTGAATCCCCGTTCCACCAAACATGCTCGCCCTATCAGCCGTGGGGGCATTATAATGTCAATCCCTCTATTCGTTGGTAAAAGAGTGGGTGGTGATGACTAGTTGCCTTTCCTTTCACTGCTAAATTAGGGACGGCTAGCGCAGATAGTCCTCCTGTAGTTTTGCGTGAAATTCAAAACAACCCAACCAAAAGTAGGAAAAGTCCTTAAAAGTTGAAACACAAGTGTCACCATTAAAATCAACTCATTGCCATACTCAAAACTTCTAAGACAACATGAAGTTTTATTTATAACATTTCAAAAAACAGTTCTTTGTAGCACACTTAATTTGAAATAGAATTTCTTGGTTCAGAGAGAAAGAGAAAGATCACAGAATTTGAACAATACAGTCTTCTCTTTTTGATAATTAAGTCATAAATTTAGAGGTCATAAAAACCTGTAGCAAAAGATTATTTCGCATTTTTCCTTATATGTTACTAATAGAGGGTAAACTTGTGCTTAGCATACGAAACAGTATTTTGATTGTGGTATTTTGTATTTGAATGCACAAAGTTGATAAAATGTAAAGGCAATGCTGTGTATTTAAAGTAATTAAAACACTTAAGTGACCGTGTGAAGTTAGATACTTAGAGTTCTGTCAAGTTTTGTATATGGGTTGGAATTCTTTAACAGTTGGTGTCTGTGACTTGTTGGCGATATATTCGAGCAATAAACGGACTGGTACACTGTCTACTTGTTTTAAAATATATATTCAAAACAAGACAAATGTGTGTACAAAAAAATTCTTTACACTATAGGATGCCACAATTGTATCTAAAACTCTAAATAATTCTATTTTCTTGTCAAAAGTCCATACAATCTGGTTCAATTACTTTAGGTCCCAATAGACAAGATGAATTATTTTTCACTACTCTTTTATCACTTACGTTACCCCATGAATTACCACAGTTGTATACAAAGCTTTAAATAATTCTCTTTTACGTTAAAAGTCCACACAGACTAGTTCAGTTACTTTAGAACTCAATTGACAAGACCAATTATTTTTCTCTAATCTGGTTCTTACTGCACAATCTGCGATAGATTCTCTTACGTTACCCTGTGGGTTACCACATTTGTATCCAGAGCTTTAAATAATTGTCTTTTTTTCGTCAAAAGTCCACACACGGTGGTTCAGTTACTTTAGAACCCAAATGACATGAACAATTATTTTTCCTCTCTCTGTTGTTACAATACAGCTGTGAATTATAGCGTGTGTTTAAGTTAAAGTGACTGTGGAAATTCTGTGTATTATAAAGTTGTGTCGAGAAGTAATAAACTAGTGTTAATTAAGAAAGGACTTGTATCGCTGAAGTTTCTCGGAAATAATTTTTACGGGAAATTAGCAAGCAAGCAGATACGTAACAATAGTTTTTTTCTTTTAAAAATATTACTATTTATAATGCTCCCTAAATAATAAAAAAAAAATTACAGTGAAAGCAATGAAGATTTTGTAGGTTTTGAACCAAACTAAATAACAGTAAACCTTTTTTGATTTATGCTATTTTCTTATTTTTAATGTTTTGAGCTCTTTTGTGTTTAGAACAATATATACTAATTTTTAAAGCATCAAATTGAATTTTTGTTCAATAAAAATCTTTCAATTTTTTCCCCCAAAACTTTGTCTTCAAAATAAGGTTGCGTCTTATATTCCGAAAAATACGGTAATCATTGAATATTAAATCACTAAATGAAATAAATAATAACTCTTATACTAAACAGTCTTGTATACTTAACAAGTTCCGAACAAATCTTATGGTCGTGCGGGGCGGCTTAATGGCGGCGAGGTTAAAACTATCCCACAATACGTGATACTCACCAAACACCTCTAGTACAAGACACTGTGAGCCGAATGGCATGATAACAAAAGACAACCCGATCAACTATCTAGTAAGAGATATCAGATCTAGCGACGTTTTCGCCCTCCGTGGCACAGAGGTATGTCTGGGGACTTACAACGCTAGAAACCGGGTTTCGATACCCGTGGTGGGCAGAGCACAGATAGCCCATTGTGTAGCTTTGTGCTTAACTACAAACAAACAAACAATCTAGCGACATTTTCACAACCTGGATATTGAGGGCAAGTAATAAAACTAAATAGGGTCCCGATAACACAGGCCTGCTAATTTAAACTTCATAAAAGTTGTTTTGGTTTTAATAATGGATTTTCTATAATTCAGCTACACAGATTTCGAATCGCGTAAGGATTTTGTACAAATCTGGAAGTAAAAAACTCATACGTAGATCAAATTATCATTTCATTTACCACAATGAATATTGTTTATTATTATGTTTATTAACAAAAATACGAACAAGCTAAAGAAAAGGAAAGAACATTGATGTCAAACTATGTCATCCTGATTTGTGTGTGTGGGTGTGAAATCTACGTCTTTTAGTCTCAAAACGACGTGTTGTGGTGATTCTTTTAGGTATTGCGTTTTGTGAAAAATCTGTTCGTGATGAAGAAAAATTTATATCATTTTCGGTTTCAGCGTACAGAAATTACCGTAGAAAGTGTAAAAAAATTCAAGACAATAAAACCATCGTAGGCCTGTGTAATCCAAGTGTCTATAAAACAAATGAAAAATTCACACTTAACTCATAAACTGAGATAGAGCTTTAAGGGATGACAGATCCACCCCCAAAATACCCTTTCTTTTGCAGTTCATACTACTAACTACACCCACCCTCCCGCATGCTTATGGAAACGTCGTCCGTACTTCCCTACTCATAAATAGTTAAACAGCTTTCCACGCACGCACGTCTTTTAATTATATAGATTTGAAACAACAAACTGCGAGCTCATTTTTATTAATCTTTTATGTTTTTTCGAATGTAAAGTACAACGGCTACTGATGCTAAAAGCAACAATACAGAGAAAAAAGAATGGGTTTGAACAACTAACAATATTTAAAAAGTGGTTTTTCGTATCTGGTCAGACACTGTGTTATAAAATAGCTCACATTTTAAAATGTTCGTCTTGGTAATTGCATGGAATGAGTTCAAATGACTAATTCATCTACAATTAGTCGAAGTAGCTTTAGCTATAATCAGCATTAGATTGATTAAGCATAAGTAATCTACAGACATTATTTGTTAAAATGAAATTAATACCGGTCTGAGTCATATACAGATTATACCAATAGGATGTAAGACCTCTTTGTTATATCTATCTTCTCCACCAATCGTAAAGCGCATGTTGTATTTTTTTTAATTACTGTCTTTCTGCTGTAGGTTCTAAGTTGCGTGATAGCCGTTGATGTACCGTCGGTTAATGTGGTGAATTGCTCGTGAACGGGGTTAGAAGTGTGCGTTTTTTTAGATTCGATCATCATGTTTCACAAATTATTCTACCCGACAGCCCATATCTTAATGAAATTTTATTTCAGAAATATAACACAAATTTTAAATTTAATATCTTATTAGCAGTTATTATACGGCAATTAACAATTTTCATGACGACATGATTTCTGCAACAAACGAGTCTGGCATTGATCTTGACTTTGATCTTCATCGCCTTGGCACAGCAACTAGTAATAATTGTGTTGCTATTACTAGTAATACGGAGAATGTTAGGAAACCTATGCCAAGTTCCACTGCCAGTGATGAAAATAACTCTAACTTAATGTATTATGAATTGAAAAGCAAAACGCCACCTGAAACTCAAAGTCAAAGGTAAGCAAAATATATATGCAACATGGTTTACTACACTTAACAAATCTTAAATTTAATGAAGTTGGTTTGAAACGTTTTTTTTTATCATCAAATGAAAATTATGATGTTGTTATTTTCATTATTGGGTGAGTTTTTGTTTTCCTTATATTGCCGAAAATATAAGTAAATTAACCCATGTTTTCACAGATGTTATGAAATAATAAAAATCTAGTTTTTTGTAATGCCATTAAGTTATGTTGTATAGTAATAATGCATATACTTTTTTGCCAGTTTATTGATATGGAAATATAGTTTACATAGAAGAGAATGTGAATATTTTGAATAATCAGTTTTTGGATTAATCAAAATATCTTGTAATTGTATTGATAGTTTATTTATTAGTCACTATTCTAATATATATATATAAAGTCATCTAACAAGATTTTTAGAAGGAGCCAAATTTCTTGCTTATAAATTAAAAATTTCTAAATGTATTGAATAAGTGTTCATTGTAGTTCATTTCATTTCATTACATTCAAACATTTAGACATGTAATTTGAAAATGTTATTAAATTTTATTGCCATATTAATCTTGCACAAGAAAAAATAAATTATAAATCCATGCCTTTTGTTTCAATTTTTTACAATACTTAATTTTAAAATTTATTTTCTAAGTTCTTGACCATGCATTAAAGTATTTGTTATTCACAGGAAATGTTTAAAAGTGTCCTACTAAACAGCTTAATATTATTTGTTAGTTCTTTATCTAAAGTTAGAGCAGTGAGTTAATAAATTGTGTATAATCTCAGTTTATCAGCTATGAAACAATCTTCTGTGTAAACAGAAGTGCAGTAGGCCTCTCAAATATGTGAGAAAAAATGTTACTTCAGTTACATTTTTGAACTTCTTCTTGTTATCCCTCTTCTCCAGTAATTGTTGCTTGCTTTGTAATTTCATTTTAGTTCCCAACCTTTAATATACAGTACAGTCTGAAGCTACTTTCTTCTTACAAGAATTTTCTAGCTTACTGAACTGTTTTAATTTTTTTTTTAAATTGATCTTCCATCCTGCGGTATATAATTAAAGGAATAACTGTCTTAAATGTTCCAAACTTTATTATGAACTACATCTTACAAGTGTTCAGTTGTTTAAATCTTTTTAAATTTTTATCATTGAACCTCTGGAAAATTAAAAATCAAGAGTAAGAATTTAGATGTGATTAAAAAAGAAATGCATACTGCAAAACTCTCAAGTAAAAGTAACACTTGTAAGTATTGGTAAGTGTGGCCATATAGTACCAGCATATAATACAAATATTTTGAAAAACATAGTATTGTTCATCAGTATGTAAAGTAGCATGGAAGTCTTTTTGTTAGGTGTTTCAGTTAAATTTAGTATAATTATTTTAATTTAAACCAAACTGCATGTGACAATGTAAAAACTGTTGCAACATTATATTTTCATTATTTTCAGAAATTCATGTACAGTATTAGACCATTTATAAAAATACACATAATTTCTACATGTACACAATACATAAAACTTGTATAATTTTTCTAGGTGCTTCAGTTTTTCGCTTTTTAAATTTATGAGGATAAGTTGTTTATTAAGCACTCCAAAAGATTTAACTTTTGATGGCAATATTTTCTGTAGTATACTGTCTGAAAATATGTGAAACTGTTTTTCTTTACAACCATTGAAGTTTATCTTCCTTACACGTTAACTGTATATGTGTTTATATATGTTACTATAAAAGAGAAATTATTGTGGTTGTTTGTAATACAGTACATTATCAGTTATCTGGATAGTATTTTGTAGAAAAAACACATTTTTACTGCCTATGAGAGTACATTGTTGGAAAAAGATTTTAGATATGATACTTATATGCTTTTCATGAAAAAGAAAAGTCATATTATGCTTTTTGAACCAGTTGGTTAGTTGAAACTGCCATTTTCCTTTGTTACTAGTGTTTAAATGCAGAAGCGCAATCATTAACACATGATTTGCTTAGCATTTTTTTTAAATATATGCATCTTTTATGTTAGTGCTATATATTTAATAAAAGAGAAGAAACTGAACAATTTTGAATGGAGATAAAATGTTTTTCAATAAGAAGCATCTATCAAATTTGCTGATGTGCTCAACTTTTTTTATTGTTTCATTTAATTGATATGTATACATATATTGCTATTACTTACAGTATAATACTTACAGCAACATCTGCTTTACTTGTGATGTAATTTAATTTACTTTAGCTAAATGTGGTTAATTTTTTATGCTTTGAGAATGAGAAAAGGTCTGAAGTTGTACAATCTTTTTTTGGTTAAGGTACCCTTCTGTGTTCTTGAATTATAAGATCTTTCTGGCTCAGTGCCATTAATTCTACACGGATGTTGTTTTGAAAATGTCAGACACTTTTTCATTTACATTTTTGTAGTCAGAATATGTATGTAATTTTCTGTAATATACTTGTAACATTTATTTGAATTAAAGTTCAGATCTTAGACATTTATTTTGATAACCTTTGGAACTAATATGAACTTTTTAGAATTTACTGTATTTGAAAATTGATGGAAACATTCAGAAGCATATGAATCCAGTTTCAGTACATGTAAGAATTTGTAATTTTATTTTTCTTGTGCAATTTCATCTTTTTTTGTAATATTTAAACAATATTTTAGAATATATGTCACAAATACCCTGAAAGTATATGTACATGTACACGCAAGTTATTCATTTCTTGTATAAAACTTTTTCCCTTACATAATAAAATAATTACAAAAACTAATGGATTAAAGTTGTGATAAAATGAAATTTTGTCAACCATGTTAGAAGTACTTTCAGTCAGAGTCTAATTTGTAAGAAGCTTCTGTAATTTAACTAAATTTAATACTGAGTTTACCATGTATGGTAATGTACATGATTGTATTTCTTTCCCAGAAGACTGGTAGTAATTAACTATATAACTTGAATGGCTCATTCTAATAAGAAGCTCATACATATGTACCCTGTAGATGCTTAATGCTGTTTATAGAGCTTGTTGTGGAATATGTTTTTCATGCTCTGTATTAATTCTGACTGCTCTTTGTAATCCATTAGTTTTAAACTGTAATTTCCTAGAAATTCTGTTATTTTTAAATTGATTACTGGTGAGAAACATGTTTTTCATTTCTATAGTTACCAATGTGAGATTTTTAAAGTCAACTATAAGCTTTTTTACATTTATTGAATAGGTTTTAGTAACTTGTCAGTCTTTTTTTTTTTATTACATTTAATCAGAGTTTAGCATTAGCAGAATATTCTTAGGACACTTTTCTACAAAATTCATGTACTTGTAAAAATTAAAGAATCTGCTTTTGCAGTGACTAGGAAATTAGTGTCTTTGGTTCACTGGTGTTATGTGGTGTTATGTAGCCTTTATTACATTTGTAGTGAATTCAAAAACACATATAGTCTACATCATGTAAGATTAGATTTTCATCCATAGAGTTCAAAGTCTCACAATAACTAACAACAGCATGAGATGAAACTTTATAATTAATTCAGAATATCCCTAGCCAACAATAACTTAGGATTAAGCTTGTAAGCACAAAATCTTATTCATAAATTAATCTTGGATTAGGCTTGGTAGTGTTTTTAAGTTTCAGTAATGAAAATAAGCTAGGATTAGACTTTTAAATCTTCATAATCTAATTAAACAAGAAACATATTAGGCCTAAACTTTAAGTGATATTATAATTTCATTAAGTGACAAATAACCCAACGTAGGTTTTTTAGTGGTCTCAAATGTTTGTTAACTAAGATTAGAGTTTCTAGAAAATTAAAATGTCACAAAAAATATAAGGTTAAACTGAATATATAATATTGTTATTAAATAAAAAAAAAAAAACCAAAATTGGATTATTAGTTCATTTAGTGATTGCAATAATTGCAAAATACAACAAATAAACTGAAAAAATACTTAAAGGTACTACTCTTACAAGCATGGACAATTAACTTATAAAAAAAATATGCTACATATTTTACAAACAAGTAATTGATTTCTCAACAGAGGAGGATTGTGGTGAAGTTCATACAGATAACAAGATTCTAACTTTGCATTATGTAGAAAGTACATTATCTTACTTTCATCATCAACCTTTGTCTTCCAATTTTTCTCTCAAACTATCAAGATATGTTTGTTTTTTCTTTTTGTCATGTCAGTGATAAAATTATAGTTTATATATCTAGAAACATACACAATATTTTTTACAGTATTTTGCCATTACTTTCTATTTATATTTTCTAAGTTACCTTATTTAAAAATATAAAAGGAAATAGTTAAATCACATGCTGGGATAAGTACACTTAACAGAATTTTTTTTCGTGATTTGTGAGTAAAAGAAGTGTTCTCAGTTTAAGTGTAACATCCAAGACTGTTGTAGAATGATAAAAAATGAATTTGGTAGTAACCTTAAAAAGAAGATTTGTAGGTTACTTTTTGATTTTATTTTTGTAGGACAACACCTACAGACATCCCACCTCTAAACCATGTGCTTCATTACTATTTTCGCTCAATGAATATTAAGTTTCATAAAATTATTAAGTAAAATAATGTCCTATTTCATGTAAAATGTTCTTATTTAAGAAAGCTTCATGGAAGATGAAATAACATATGGCTTTGTATTTGTTTACTTAAAAGCATTTTATGAAGAAGTCTTAAACTTAAGTACATGTTCTTAAATTTAAAAAATTCTTTTGATTTGTTGGAAAGTTAACCAGTATATCCCCTGTGTTATAAAATGAACAAGATTAACAGTTTGTATGAATGTGTGTGTGTGTGTGTGTTGGAAAATTAGCAAGTCTTTTTCTCTGCTGTAGAAATAGGTTGATTAGGGATGATTTGAGAAAACTATGAAACAACATTGCATTTAGGGTAAATTACATTGATTTTCCTAATAAATACTGAGGGCTTATGGCTTTAGTATTAAAGTAAAGAACTATAGAATAATTATTTTTTTGTTGCTACCCTGGAAATGGTTCTGCACATAAGTGTTTGTGCACAGCTTATAAACTGTACAAGTAGCTTCCTGTCTGCTTGGATCGTGCAGCTCAAAACAATATTGTTGTTGTTATTTAGTGGGAATTCCATGCACGTGCTGTAGCTTGCACACAAGTTTTCCTTTTTTTGTGTGGCAGTGTCATAAAAACCTCAACAATTTGAACATTTTATATGGGTATTTATGTGCAAAACAAAAAAACTACAGTTGCTAAATTTGAAAATTAGTACAAGTATGTTAGATTTCTGCATTGTGTTTGTAATTTTTTGAAGTAGGCTTTTTTATGTAAACTTTATGAAAAAATATACTATTAAGCAAAATGTGGATGTGTACAGTACTTATTTTGTTACTAGTACAACATACTTAACATGCATATTTTTTAGAATATTGGTTGAGCATTTGTAATGTAAATAGCAAGAAATATTCACAAAATTGATATTTGCAGAATGGTCACTGCCCTATTCAAGGAAAATGTCTATTTGTGATTGGTCCAGCTTAGTATTAAGAGAAAAAAATAAAAAATGTAACATTAAATAAAGAATTAACAAAATATTAATATGGGAATATGTTTCCTTCTAATGTAATATTTTTGATCAATATTCAAAGATTTTATTTCAAATCTTAGTGTTTGTAAATCACCATTAATAGAATAACCATTCTGAATTTGTACGTGTAGTTATGTATGGAAGAATATCATGCTAGTGTAATAGTAAAGCTGACAAAAAATGATTTATAAGCATTATGCATATTAATTGTTGTTTGTCAGTTTATTATAATATATGTAGTGCTTCAATATTAGGGGTTATATTAACAGGAAAAATATTTGTAATCTAAAGTTTCTCAATCTGATTGTAAAGAAATTAACATTGTCATCATGTGTTATTTACATTAGCATCTTGTGTACTATGATGTAATATAAATAACAAAATAATTACTTTTAGTAACTGACATTTAGTAAGGTGTCAAAATGAAATCTTTGCAATACATCTATGTTTAGAATATCTTACTTTGGAAAAAAAATTATATATAAACACAATATTTTGTTTGTCATTTTTGTGTTATTGTCATCTTGGATTTGTATCAAGGATTATTTCAATACATTAATTTATTGTTCATTTATGTATGAGTATGAGGTACATACTTAATAAATGTGAAGGTTTGTTGCAGTTTTTTATTCATTCAAATGATGTATTTGTAGCCATCTGTACCTGTTTATTTTGATATCCTAGAAAAACAGGAACTGTTAATTGTCATGTAATAAGTTCTCATTCATTATCCATTTGTAAATTATTTAAAAACTTATGATGCAGCTTTTTTTTTGGATTTTCTAAGTTTTCTCATAAAAGAACTGTCCATAGAATATGTTAGTTTTATACCTAATTTGTGGACTCTAGATTTTAATCTACAAGTATGACCAACTCATTGAACTCATTTCAGAATAAATAATTTTGTTAATTGAACACTTACACACAAAATAACTTTTAACTTTCTATTTGACAAGAAAAACAATTTTTAAACATGTAATGTATATTAAAATTTAGAAGTCAGCAGACTTGGTTAACCCAGATTGTTTTTTCATTTCAATAATATATTATATATTAAACTGTAAGTGTACAAGGACATTTTAATTCTAAAAATTTTACCAGAAAATGCCATTAAGTGAAAAATTCACAAATTGAAAATCTTTACTAGGGTTTGTTCAAGTTTATTTATTTAATGGTTTGTTAAATTGTTTAAAACAATTTCATGGTTTGGAAAATGCAATATTTTCCACTAAAGTTTATATAGCTTCAGAATTAGAGATACTACATGATATTTATCCCCAGATTAATAGAATCCTTTATCTTGTAAGGTTTTCATTTGAAACCAGAAAATCTGGATACTGGTGAAACTCTTTCAAACATGAAATTTCATTAATAAGAAAAGCATATAAGTGTATTTTTATTTTCCCTTTTCTTGATTCATCTACTTATGAATATATTACCAACTATAAGAAAACTATTACTGTGATATCAGAAGCAACATAATCATGAGATTAGTTTATCTGACTATTGTTTAATAAAAATCTTTCTGAAATTCTTTATGTGGATATATGTTTATTACATTAAGTTTAATTGCATAAAATACTATTTTCAGTCATCAAGAAAATCAAAGTTTTATGTATAATAATTGACTAACCATGTTCCAGTATGTATCAAGTAAGGTTTTATTAAATATGTATTATTTCCCAGGATATTTTTTCCCCTTTTTTTTTTACACTTTCATTTGTTGATTTTCTATTCTCAGCTAATTTTTTTCTTTAATGTATTTCATTGAAGAAAATTTTGAACATCAGAAGTTTTTTGTTAAAAGAGTGGATTTAGTTTATTCTAAATTTTTCATCACTTATAATATTTAATTAAAACAATGCTTCTTTTTCTAAAAATTATATTTATTACCTGAATATGTATACTTGTAGCGTTCTGGGTTTGAAAACTGTCACCGCCATGAGTCGTACCAGTCTGAAGCAACAGTTAATGCGAGAACAGATGCAACAATTAGAGCAAAAAGAAGCCCTTGCTCAACAAAAGACATTGTCAACTTCTGCTCCTTCAACTGCTGCAATCAAAGTACCAGTGTCTGTATCTGCTGTGGGTCTATCAGTCCCTCCTCAGGTGCTTCAGGTAATTCATAATAACAAAACAAAGTGAAAATAATCCCTTTAACTATCCTATTGCTCTTATTTGATCATTTGTAAAATACATCATCTTTGAAATATATAATTTAACTTTAATGAATTTGATTATTAATGGAATTATTGTTTACAGTATGCATGCAAGCTGTTTTACCTCTCTTGTTGACTAGTCTTATTTAGGTATACACTTTATACTGTCTTCTAAATTTTGCATTAATGTAATGTGGCTCTTTGTTTCAAAGTTTGCACCATGCTAGAACATATTTTTTTTAATCAGGTGTTTCCTTTTGATGGTAGTCATCACATTTTTTTATTCTTTTGTTTCTTCGTAAGTAATACATGTGTTTCCGAAGATCTTTTTGACATTGCAAGAATTTGACAAGCAGTTTTCTTTATTTACTGTTTATATAACAGTATCCCTGTTTATCTTTACATACTGATAATACTGCCAGTTTCTTGTTCTTCTATTCTCTTACATTGACAAATTTATCTTAATAGCTAATAAACTTTTTCAACTTATTGAATTTTGTTCACTTTCTAAAATTTCAAATAAAACATCTAACAATAATCTAACTACGAAAATTGATTTTTTTATTAATAAAGAGGTTTAACATCTTCCTTTTGCTAACATCAATCAAAAAAGTGAAGACAAGTAGATGCGTAGATGAAAAAATTTTTTTTTCCCTTTACTTGCTCTAGCATTGAAAAGGATTTATCTAATCTCTGTATAAAATTTCTACAGTTAAAATTTTTTGGTCAAATACGGAATACTCTGTAAATTATTTTAGAGTATAATCTACTACTTGTATACCTATTTAGTAGCTACTTTTGATTTATTGAGGCATTATTAAGGATAAGAAATGAATTGGAGTTGCAGAAATGTGGCAACTCCAAAATTATACCAAAAAATTTAGTTGTTTGATGAAGATTTATCTCAGAAAAAATATTTTTTTATTTAATTTTATTTAAAAATTTTTAAAAAATATCCAAGTCTGCATAACAGGTTTTATAAACTGGGATGACCATTTCCAGTGTTACACAAAATACCATGATTGTCAAAAAACTTTTGCTCCTTGGTAGAAGTAGAATGTTTAAAATTTTATATTGCTATATTCACCCATTTTTTGGAAACATGTTTACAAATTCATTGCATCTTATATTAATTTAGCATAACAGTAAGATGATTTAAATAAATAAAACACCTTTATAGTATGATGAAATCTTCGCTGGTACTGTACTACCACTGTTCTTTAGTAGAGAAACTATTTTAAACACTACAGACTCACTTTACAAATCTGTTTCATCTGTACTATTTGACAGTTTGATAAACCAAAGATCTCTATAAAAGTATTTGTTTTATTTATTAATGTGTGTATGTATTGGTGTGGTGAAATGCAATACATATTTCAAATATTAACTTAAAATAAAGGTTGTTTTATTTCCTATCAAGTAAGATTTATGCCTAATACCTCAAAAATGAACAGCAAAGAGTCCAAGAGTTAAGGGCCTGTGCTCTGAAGATTTTGATGATACAGCATATCTGTAATTATTGGTCTGCGAAAATATTGCCAGGATACTAAACGTAACCAAGGGAGTGTCTTAATGGGTTTATATTTTTGAATTACTTCCAAGAGGTAGTCAAACATACTTAATGTTGATAAGAACATTCGTTTTTTTGTGACTCATATCTGCTATGTCCAATTTTTGTGTTTCCCATATATTACTGATCTACCATCTATAGAACAGGAATATCTGCTAGTGAATGCAATATTGTAAGTTTACAAGTTCCTATGGTCTCCTCTTGCTTTGTTTCTTTTAGTGGGGAAAATATTGGGCTAATTATTTAGTCCAAAACATCCAAAAAATTCTGTATACAACTCCAAAACCTTGTCCAAAACAACAAACAAAACGTAAACTGTCCATAATAACTCCTATCTTTTATCTGTAAAATGTCTACACTGTTACAAAATATATATTTCATAAATTAAAAACCTGATATATTTAGTTAAGTTTTTGAATATTTACAGTAATACTTATTATTAATCTCAAAATCTGTTAGATCTGTATTTTGTTTATTTTCATGTGATAATCTTGATAGTTTTGTATTGTTTGCATTTAATGATTTATTACTTGAGACAAATACTGTCTAATAAGTCCAACAACAGTATGTACAGGAAATTCAAATGCATCATCAACCCATTCACTCCAGCTGGATGTATATATTTCCTAGTGAACTGGGAAATATACATCACAGCTGCAGTGAGAGGGTTAAGAAATTATTGCATATGAGCTAATTTTAGTTAATTTTTTTCTAATCATTTGGATAGCATTGATACTTCAGAATAAACAGTATACAAATCTTTTTTTAAATCTATATTTTTAGTTGGGGATTTGTAAGAATTTAAAGTATTAAACTTTTGGATGAATTTTAGTAAAGTCAACAAAATTCAGTACTGTTACAATTCTAATTTGTATTTACAGTAAACAAGTTGCCATTTTTTTATAACTGACATAGATGTAAAGTTTTCAATGAAAGAAATTTCTATTTAATTATCTTAGCTGTGTTGCAGTAACATGAAGTTCATTTATGGTGAGAAAGTAAAGGTTGATTACAACAATATCGTTTAGTGATAGTTCTAATGACTGTCAAGAGGTGGCATTACATTCATGCTAAATTAGTATATTTCACAGTAACAGTATATTTGTACTTGTTTGATAAATTTCGTAGACATACAGAATGCATGTGGTAAAACACTGGATAACCAGTAAACATTGTGATGTGTCTTGTATACTTATTTACTTTTGCATCTTTAGCAGTGTCATAACTACATAAATGTGCTGTTTCCGTTATACATACATTACATAATTTTATGGGGAGTTACTAAAGACTTTTTTGAAACAGTGAAAATATTATGGAAAATATAAGCAGCATTGACTAACTGACATAACTAACTGTGTTTGAAACATAAGAAAATTAAGTAAGTTATTATGTCTATCCTTAAATAAAGCTGTGGAGTATACAATGGCATGGAAACTCCTAAAATGATAGTAAGAAGAGGTGGGGAACAGTTATTTACATTAACTTGACTCTGAAAAAATAGTGAGTTACTGTTTTGATTGGAAACTTCATGTCCTTGAACTTGTCTTTGATGGGATTAAAGTTTTATTGTTTTTACCATTTACATGTAACTTTGTGAATTTCCTATTTAACCTTAACAATGTAAATGTGTTTTTTATCACAAAGCAGGTAACTATGTAACCAGATAAATTCTTTCACATCACAAACCAAGGATTCATGTATCACTTTTAGATTGTACAGTCTGCTTTGCTTTATCATATACACTTTTGAAACACAAAAATTACAGCTTTCAATTAAAAATTAAGAGTTTTATTGATAGTTTAAGAAATTAGGTAGAGAATTGAACACTTCTCAAATAATATAGTAAGTTGAAAGTAAAGTTTTCAAATTCTAATACCCAGTTTTTACATTTTTGATTATTGCATATAGATTTATCTGTTCATATAAACTTTTGTGGATAGGAACAACATTCTACAACCTAAAGTAAATTTATTAAATAAACACTTGTGGTTTCTTTATAATAACTAATAAATTATAGTATGAATTCTGATTTACAAAAAGAGATGACAGGTTTGGTAATGCATGGATTTTTAGGTTCAGACCTGTTTAGAAAACCCGACGAAATACCATGTTCTACAGAGTCAAAGAAGACAAGTACAACAGTATATCAGCAGTACTCATGGCACTAATCGTCCACAGATCCATACCTTATCACTTGCCCCCAAAATAAGAAACTGTTATCCAAGCTCTGACAGTCCACCATCTGCCCCACCAAGCAGTTCAACAGCAACGAGTACATCAGAGGTAAGTTACGTTTTCTTTGTTGAAATATCTGAGTTGTATACTGGTACACCACACTGGAAACTTAATAAAATATAAACAATTTGAATCTTCTGAAATAAACCTGCAATGAATACATTGTGTCATTTGACAGGCATTCTTTCTTTTAATAACTTGAAATGTAGCTGCATTATGATAATCTTAAATGGTAGTAAATAATTTGAATTATTTCCTTGTGTTCATAAACAAACTACATGTACAAGGAAATTTTTGACCAAGTCAATATTCTGATTCTATAGTTTGTTATGGGTGCAATAATAGGCTAAGTTGAAATTTTCCTATTTGAACTTCGAAAAATGAAATAGTAATCTATAACCAATGAAAGAAAGAAAGAAAGAAAGAAAGAATTTAAATATTCACATCTATGAAGTTTGATAAGTAATAATTATATAATTTTAGTAGTTGATTCATTTTTTGGAAAATGTAATTTAATAATAGCTTACTGAAGATTCCGAAACATCTAATAAATTATTCATATTGTTGTTTTTCTCTAGGGAAAAACTATAGTGAAACAATAAATACAAAAGCTGCTTTGTTTGACAAAAAATATACACATGATAAATAATCTTGTTTTTAGCTGATTATTTTGGTAAAACATATTTTAGACTGTTATATTTACACAGATGTTTTAGTGTCTTTTATAGTTAGTTCTTTTAATTACTATAATCTCTTTTTCTTAAAATTGCAAAATATGATTAATCTTATGATGTACTGTAAAAATATTATTGAAGAGATGGGAGTATGGTTAGTATGCGGATATAGAATTTTTTTTGTTCTTTTAACAAGATACATTATATTATTTATTACCTTTTCTGAACATTTTTTGTTAACAATGGTAATCATAGAAAATTGACTAGGCCTATTCTATTAATACCTTTGACACAGATAATGACCTTAGATAGATAGCTGTTTGAAACCTTGAGTAATATGAAATGTAAAATAGAAACATAATGATACAAGTATCTTTTTGTGATAAGTGTGCCTATTGTTTTTTTTTAGTAATTCTTTAATTTAAAGTAGATTTTCATTTTGGATGTTTAAATGGGCCTTCAATTTTTTCTTGTATGAAACATCATATTTATATAAGCTCTGTTTTAATTTTAAAATTTCACATGAAACTTTCCAAGGAAAGTTATGTTTACAAATACAACTTTTGCAGTAAAACTGACAAAATGCAAGATTTGTCTTATAAATTCAAAATAATTTTTTATTTCCTTATATGTAGAATTTGGGTGAAAAAATTTTGTTTCACCATAAAATATGTAATTTCAGCCTAAGTAAAATAAGCTGTTAAAATATGACATCTAATGTTGAACACTTGCTGCTTATTTTATTATTAACAACAAATCTCACATGATTTAAGTGGTATTACATTTTGTTTAATAAATTGTTTTGCAAATGCTCAATATTAGGTCTAGCTAAGAATTACATTGAGTTTGATTCACAAGACTGTATTTATGTTTTTTATTATTGTTGTACAGTTGATGCAGATTTTGTGCTTGAATAAGTGAATCTGTAAAGCTGCTAGTATGGTTGTAATATCTTTATATATATATATATATATATATATATATATATATAT